AAATGTTTGATATCCATACAATTGATTTTACTGGTTCACTCTTCCACTGATGTACAGTCTGTTGTGGTCCTGGGTTTATGCAGTTGTCTCCTGTCAGACTCCCCACCTTTGATGATCTTTAGGTTTTCTCTCTGGTCTCTCACCTGCAGCCAGGAAAATAGAAGGCAGAGTTTACAAGGGTTCAGCAGATGTCCTCAGGGCAGCTGGAGGCTTCACCATGAATCAGCTTAACTCTTTGAATTTCTGCTTCCACTGTGATTTTGGCCCCTGGGGCTTTCTTACTCAGCTCAGTGACTCTTGAAAAAAAAAATGCTTTGAATAGTTTATACAGCATTTTTAATTGTTGCTGCAGGAGGGTTAATCTGAGAATTTGGTCTACTATACTTTCAGAAAAGGAAGTCTCATTATTATTTCTTTTAAATATTTCCTCTCCTCCATCTCTTTCCTCCTCCTTCTGGAACTCTTGTCATTCACATGTAAGTCTCCTATCCCTTCTCTCGTGATTTCCATCTCTTTATACTTTTCCTCTGGGTTTTGAGATATTTCTTTCATTTTATCTTCCAGTTTTCTCACGTTGTTCTCAATAGTACTCAGTGGTTACCATTTTCTCTTCTATTAAAAATTTTTTTAAAATCATCATTTGTTGTTGTCGTTCTATGTCTTTTTATGCCATGAACATTCTCCTAAGGTGGGATGATGATGATGGTGATGGTGGTGATGGTGGTGCTGGTGGTGATGATGATGTAAAGTTGTCATCTATTTACCACTAGTTGAGACGTTCTGCTTTATCTTCTCTCTGGCACATGGGTCCCCTTAAGTCTATTTAAATTTTCTCTTTCCTTCTCACAGCTCTGTGGCTTTCAGGGAAAGCTTGTACGGTTTCTTTTGCAATGATGAAAGATAAGGTCACAGGCAAGATGTTGCTCCTCTGATGAGCACCAAGAGGAAGCTCCCAGGTCTCCACAGCTGTAGATGTTGGCAAGCCCCTATTCTCAGGGGTGGGGGAAATCTCCCAGGCCCTGGGCCCGTGCAGCTCTCCCACATTCTCCCCAGAATAGAGAAGCCCTATAAGGACCTCACAGGAGACTACATCCATGAGACCCAAGGAGACCCTATTCCTTTTGGGAACCCCAGAGTCCTGGGCCTTTTCCCAGGCCTCTGAGCTGCTGGTCCCCTCACTCCCACCCAGCAGGAGAATGAAAGTGTCCTGTGACTGTCCCCTTTTCTAGGATTCCAGAAGAGCTCGCTATTCCATGTATACATTCCAGGCCTTGCCATCGGACCCTCCCTCCTGGCTGTCCCTTAGCTCAGGAGGTGGAATTGAACAGGAGTTGAGAGGAGCATTCAGGCCACATACCCCCCACCCCTCTAGCAATTTTTAAACACATGGTGGCCATCTGTTTACAAATTTTGGTCTTCCTTATTCTTTTTAGGAACTTTATTGCATTTATATGGCTGTACCTTAATTTATTTAACCTGAACTTTTCCCAGGTTTTTATTTTTAATATCAAACACTGTATTAATATTATAGATTATAGATTCTTAGAAGAATCTATAGGTAGATTCTTATAGATTCTTCATCTTCATGCCATTACTATTATTCTAAAATTCTAAATTTGCAGTACCTGATTCCCAAAGCTCCATGATGATGATAATAATAATGTTAGAAATTATTGAATGCCCATTATGTGCTAGGGCCTTATATGTATTAACTTACTTAACACTTATCACAGCCCTATTTTATCCTGGTTTTACAAATAAAGAAACTAAGTCTCAGAGAGGTTAGGTGACTTATTTAAGTCACACAGCTAACAGGAGGTGGCATGAAGCCTCAGAGCTCTCACGCCTTCACCCATCCCACACTGTGCGTGGAGCATACACTGGGTCAGGTTTCCAGTCCAGCTTCTGCAACTTACCAACCCTACTTCCCCTGACAAGTGACATTAGCTCCCTGGGAGCCAGATTCTTCTATTACCATAGTCTCTGCCTCGCCTCCTTCCCAGCAGTGCAGAACAGGACAAATGAGATCATGTGTGTGGAAGCACTTTAAAAACTAAAACACACCATACAAAGGTGAGGGATAATGGAGAGATGATTACTGAGTACACAGATAAGCTTGTTTATTTCAAGCACCTTAGCCCTTTGACAGATGTGAAGGATATGTCCAGAGACCTTGTCAGATCCCCAAATTGGATACCGTATAAAGATTGCATAAACATAGGCATAAATCTATTTACAAAGATACAAAGTTATTTGTAAATGTCTGAAGCATTTGCTCAAAGTGTTTTGTGAATCACCTTCTCTTAATTTCTTTTAACTGAATGAGGGGCTCACTCTGGTCCACTGCTAAATTCCACATTCCTCTCTTTATTTGTCAAAAATTCCTATTTTCTGTCTAAGAAACGTTGTTTTCTGAGGCCTCTCCACTTGTTCTTCACTTCTATTATAATACTAGTGTTTGGCTTTCTGTGGAAGGCCGTTTTCACAAAGAAACAAGACTTTCTTTTTCATCGTTTTTGAAGGATTACAGAGTACTAATGAGTTGACTCCTTAAGTGATAAAAATTTATGCCTCAGTAAACGACAAATGCCACATATCAAGGGCATTCAAGGTCCTCTGAGAGTTTAGATCTCTGAGTGAAATCCTTGAATACCACGGTTCTATGGCAGAAACTAGGGATTCTTTTGGTCTGCACCCTACCTGGTGACTTGAATGGTCTGGCTCCCTAACTAATGTGTACGTTTCTTGACACAACGGCTGCGTCTTTTCCATCTTCAGCTTCCTCTCCAGAAGTCCCCAGTGCTTGGCATTTTCATGATTATGCAAAAATTACTTGTAGAACCGAATGATATCACACTGACTAATCATTTTTTTCTATTGTGCATACCCTCTGTAGAGGCAGGGTCACGTAGTGAAAGAGAGCAGGGTTCTAGTCGGCTCTTGTGTGGGACCTCAGGTCAGTCAGTCATTTGTACGCTGGTCTTGATTTTATCCACCTGGTGAGAAGGAGGATTTGGACAGGATGATCTTTAAGCCCCGTTTAATTAATTAAATAAGGAGGGCATTAGACCGAGGAGGCTCTAATGCCGTGGCAGCCTATGTAAGCAAACCAAAATCTAATCCTGTAAATGCCTCAAGGTTACAAAATCAAAACGCTAAAGACAACCAACTACAAACAGCCAACTAGCCTTTAAGCTGTACCCATCAATGATTTCCTTCTTTGTTTCCGTGCTTTCTCTATATAAGTCTTTTCTCTGGCTCCCCTCCGTCGAGTGCTCTAACCACTTCTGGTTTTGTGCCGTCAGGTTTGAATAGATTTTTGCTCTTAAATAAACTTAAAATTTTTAATACGCTTGGGTTTCTCTTTTAACAGACACTGGTTCCTAAATCTGGCCAATTACCTGGGGATGAAGAGATACCGGAGCTCCTTCCAGGAGGTTCTGACTCAGACTCTATCTGGGACAGGTAAGAATCTGATAAGTCAGCTGACACTTAGCAAGAACTGACTGGGGCCTAGGCACTGGCCCCTAGGCTGTGTTTTACAAGTTCATGTTCTCAGTTTCTATCTTCACAACAATATGAGGTGGTTGCTATTATCACCCCCATTTTACAGAGGAGGAAATTGAAGCTAAAAACAGGAGGGAAAAATAAAAGAAAGAAAGAAAGAAAAGCTACTTAAAAGTTTATGCAACTGGGCCGGCTCCGTGGCTTAGCGGTTAAGTGTGCGTGCTCCGCTACTGGTGGCCCGGGTTCAGATCCCTGGCGCGCACCGCGGCACCGCTTCTCCGACCATGCTGAGGCCACGTCCCACATACAGCAACTAGAAGGATGTGCAACTGTGACCTACAATTATCTACTGGGGCTTTGGGGAAAAAAAAAAGGAGGAGGATTGGCAATAGATGTTAGCTCAGAGCCGGTCTTCCCCAGCAAAAAGAGGAGGATTAGCATGGATGTTAGCTCAGGGCTGATCTTCCTCACAAAATAAATAAATAAATAAAACTGTTTAAAAAAAAAGTTTATGCAACTGGTAAGGGGTCGATTGGCTATTCCAACTCAGACCCAGCAACTCCAGACCCCACTCCCAATCACTGTGCTACATAAGATTTTTCCGAGGGGCTTCTGGTGATTTTGATGATTAAAATCTTTAGATCTCAGAAAAGCTTTGAGAAAAGCTACCGAAGGGCCCACGCCAGTCTCAAAGGGTGCATTTATTTGAAATGTGTGGCCCATTCCCCCCAGCGTTTCTGGAAGGAAAATGGTTTGGGAACAGCTTTCTCTCTAAGCTTAAGACGCGCAGCGGGACCTCTTATCAGCATTTCCCACTTTTCAGAGAACGTGAAGTCCACTCCGCGAAGCTCCTGCTCTCACAGCTTGACCCATCTGGGAGCCCAGGGCGCCTCTTTCTGTACACCTGGCACTTCTGGTCCCGCCCCGATTCGCGAAACCCCCAATCCCAAGCCTGTGCACTGTGATTGACGTGCTCTCGGAGCAATTATAGTTGGTTATGGCGGACGGCCGCCCGGCCTCTCCGACGACCCCGCCTCCCTTTCATTCTGCAAGAAAGAACCTCGGCACGGGCGTCCAATGAGAAGCGTCTCCACCCCAAAGATCCCGCCTCTTTCGGCGCCGACCCCGCCCCGAGGGCCGGAAGGATGCCCGCCCCTCGGCGTGGCACGGCCCAATCGGAGGGCCCGTTCGTCCGGATGGACGGCAGCCGGCCCAATTGCCGGGCCTCGGGTGGCGCCG